ATAAAATATAAATATATATATATATATATATATAATTCTCCACATAAAAACCTGTGCATGAATGTTAAAGCAGCTTTATTCATAATTGCCAAAACCTGAAAGCAACCAAGAGATGTTTCAACAGATGAATGGATAAACAGACTGTGGTATATCCATACAATGGAGTATTAATGCTAAAGAAAAATGAGCTATCAAGTCACAAATAAATATGGAAGAAATTTAACTGCATACTGCTAAATAAAAGCCAATTTTTGAGTATGCCTAATCTAAAAATCCAAATTTGTACCAGCCTCATATGCAGTGGTTAAAAACCACGCAGAGGAAGCCAGATCCCACATGGCCAACTAGGGTTGAGTTCTAGTGTCTTGAAAACAGGCTAGATGTGTGCATGTATGTGTGCCAGGATGGAGAATTAGATGTAAAAGAAAGATCATGGCATGACCAGGCCCCACTTGGGGGTGAATTATTTCTCTCTCTTTTGTGTGAGTGCAGGGCACATGTTCTGGCATTAAAAACAAAACAACACAAAACAAACAAAATAGAAGAAAGAAAGAGAGACAAAAAAAGAAAAGGAAACCCCAAATTCAAAATTCTCCAAAGTTAGAAATTTTCTGAGGGCCAAAAAGACTCCACAGCTAGAAAATTTTACACCTGACCTCATGTGACAATTTACAGCCCAAATGCAACACAAATAGATTGTATAAAACCATTGTCAGTCTGTGTATAAAATGTATATAAAACACAAATGAATTTCATGTTTAGACTTGGGTTCCATCCCCAATATATCTCATTATAATGTATAAGCATACATTGTAAAAATTTTTAAAAATCTGGGACACTTCCAATCTCAAGCATTTTGAATAAAGTATACTCAACCTGTATGTGATCTCAAACCATATGGCATTCTAGAAAAGACCAAACTATAGAAAAAAATAAAAAGATCTATGACTGCAAATAATGAATCCTAGTATAAACTATGGACTTAATAGTTAACTAGAATGTACCAACGTTGGTTCACTGAGTAGAACAAATGCACCACACCAACACACGATGTTAGAAACTGTGGGTGCCTGGGGGTGAGGGAGTATATGGAACTCTGTATTTTTGTTTAATATTTTTGTCAACTAAAAACCACCCTAACAATAAAGTCCATTAATGAAACCAAAACCAAAACAAATACTAATATACTAAAGAGCTTTTTGAGTTTGTCTCTCATGTTGATTAAAACTACTATACTCCTACTTTCCTCTAACTGCTGCCATTTTGTTCTGATTTTCTGTTAATAATTTTCATAGAAATCTTATTTTTTAATCCAAGGTGCCTTCCAGAATTATTCCTTCTTGCATATGGAGGTAAATAATTCTTCATAAGAAGTAGGAAAAATATTTCTTTTATTTATTAATCCAGTCAAAAATGATGAGCGCCAAACTAAAATTTCCAACCAAAATCCCAGAGATGAGCAAAATAAAAGCCTATGGAAATAAGGAAAAAGATAAAGAACAATTAGAGTATGTTTTTAAACCTTTACCCTCCTCAATAGTGTATTCTATATTTTAAAATATATCACTACATATAGCTACTATCCTGTAGACAGAATAGTATAAAATAACAAAGTATTTCTCAAAATAAAAATTGTAAAAGAAACAAACAAAAACAACCTACTCCAAGCTTTTTGCATGAGAGAAAATCTTCTCTGCTAAGTTTGAGATAAAATAGTCCAGGAAATACAAAAATCAAACACGTTGATGTGCTGGCACCTTTAAGTTGGAGGGAAAGTTAAAAAAGAAAATGTTGTCAGATTCAGATGTGAGACTGGGTAACAATTTATTCATTTTATTATGCGAATTTTTTGAAATAAAAAACTTACCAACCACACCAAATACATTTCTAATGTCAGGAACATATAATGCAAGTAAAACAATAATGATATTGAGTGCTAAAGTGATCAAAAAATGGCGAATCCATGAAAACGGAAAATTGGAGAAAAACATCATCATTAAAGCTTTTCTGGCCTGTGAAACAGAAAAGCACATTTAGGTAAAGAGGAAATGTCAAAGGCAAAATTTTTGTTTAGAGAAACCCATGCACGTTAACTACAATATTCCTCCCCCTAAACCATCAACATTCCAAAAATACAGCATAAACTATTAATGTTATTATAAAGTGTTTATGCACACAAACTAAATGTTTATCCATATAAATCTTTCTGTTATCCCATATAAATCTTTCTGTGTGAGCTCATAAAGATTACCTTGCATTATCTAGAAAAATTTTCATACATAATTTTTTTAGGTTGCATAATTTTAAAAATTACCAACAGTAACAATGTAATAAAATCTCATTTTCACTACATTCAATAGCTAGGACAAACAATTTAAAACAGAGTAAGAAATCATGCCATGAGAAAAGAACCCCACTTATGATTTTATTTTATATTACCTATCTTACAGTATGATATAAAAGCTAATCATTGTACTTCCCATTGCTAAGGTGGTAGCAGGTGGTCTCATCCCACAAAAGTGTATCCAGCCTCTGCTGCACTGGGGACACCATAGTCCACAGAGGGCGGAGACAACAACCCTTAAAGGCCCAGTTTTTAAAAACTCACTGTTACAGATGCAAGACTCCATGTAGAAGCATTTATACCCAAAGCTTCTGTTCTCATTTTCTCAGAAATTCTTTAGATTCTTACGTATAAGCAGTCAGAGGCAGAACAAAAATCTGTTCTGCCCCTAAAATGATAAATTTGGAAACAAATAAAGCATTTTGACTGGAAACTAAAATGTCTAAAATAAATTTACAACAAACCAGAAGGGGCGTATTTTTGCTGACTTGACTTTTTCCTCTTCAAGCACATTCTTTTGAAAACAGAATACAGAAAGGGGGATAAAAACCCCAAACTTTAGAAATGTAGTCTCTAAATTGGAAGCAATGCTGTGGGAGAGCGTAAATCTAAACTAAATCTCAAAAGGCACAAATTAGCTTAGTGGTTCACTTTTATTTGGGGGCTTTCATGGGGCCATATGTGAGCATGAGGTCTTTGATCATTACTTGACAAACGAGCAAGATATGAAAGACTAGATGTGACTCGACATTCTAGTCTGCAAAGAATTAGTGTTGCCATATTAGGGAGCCGCTACACTAAGCAACAAAACCTTTATGAGTACTTACAGGGAAGTGGATTAGTGGGACTGTCAAAAGCACAGCGAATAGTATGCATAACTTCACAGTCATGACAACAACATCATGTGGCAAGTATTTAGTATAACCTTGCAGTAATTCTGACTCCACTTTGTCTGTGAATAAAAAACAATAATAATAAGGATCATATTATAAACTACTAAGATTTTTCAGTAAGACTAAAATTATTTTACTTTGCACTAGAGATCTTACTAAATTTTGGATTCCTATTACTAAATCGATCTCTGGCCTTTTCTCTACCCTATGAAATACAGAGACATCTGTTAAATATCTTCTTGAATCCTACAATCCTTTTTTTTTTTTTAATCTCTTTTAATGAAATTATAAACTAGGACAGGCTGACATTCAAAATGTGGGGGTGACCAGCCTGTGGTGTGGTAGTCAAGGTGGCTGGATCTCACATGGCCAACTATGCAGTTCGAGTACAGGACTCAGTGGCTTGAAAAACATGCTGGGCGTGTATACGTGTGTGCCCAAACTCCTGAAAGGGGAGATAGAGAAGGTGTGGCCATTCTCCATGGAGGATGCTTTCCTCCCTCCCACGCCTGCTCCTCTAGTGAGTGCATATACTCTCTAGCAAATTATAAAAAAGAAAAACAGACAAAGATGTAGGGGAAGAGATTCTCTAGAAGCAAGCAGAAGCAGAAACAGAAGTCCTGAAATAGCAAAGAGAGCATGCACTTGAGAAAAAGAGTAGATCTCACATGTATAACAGTTGCTCAAATTCAGTGTGCTCTACAGCAAAGAGGGTAGTGGGTGCCAGGGCTGGAGATGTACTTAAGATCGAGTAACACAGCTCTGCACATAGTGTGGCCGCAATCTGGCAGGTCATAGAGATGCAACAATGACTTATGAAGAAAGGCATATTACAATCTGAACTAAGGAGTAGAGACTGGGGGTGGGGGGGAGAGGAGAGAGATCCTCAAAACAAGGAGGTAATGAGAATTCAAATTACTCTAATGGTGATAGAAATGGGAGCTGGATGAACTGACTACAGTATTAAAGACATATTTTATACAGCGTGGGACAAATAGACTAAGAGGAGATTAAGGGCCAGGAAATCTGGATTCTATTTCCAAATCTGTGAGATACTTGTGAGTCTTTGCAGAAATATGGCGAACTATTTTATTTCCATTTTCTGAATCATAAAATGAGCTATTAACACTTTTTAACACTTAACAACCTCACAGACTTTTAAATGGTCTGGTTATATGCAACATTTGGGCATTGGCCTGGCTCACCCGAGCAACACTTTCCTCTTCCTCACCATATAATGCTTTAACATCTGTAACCAGAGCAGTTATTATTAACCCAGGTACATACTTATAGGTCCCTTTAATCTGACAAAATTTAGATATTAACTAGTCTTGAGCTCTGGATAAAGAGACGTAAAGCAGGTCTAAATGCGGGAAGAATGGATTTATTACATATTCAAAATACATGTCACATGTCCACTTTTTACTTTCTCAGGATGAGAACCTTTCTAAGCCAGTCATTCTGTGTTTTTAGCTGAGCCTTAACATATGAAGGGATAGAGCACTTCTCCAGATTCAGACAAATCTCTACAAATCTCAAGGACCTGATCTCTGCAAGTTAGATCTGCCACTGAAATCAGGAGGCTGGACTGTTCAGTACCCACTGACAAAGATTATCCCAAAGTAGCAGAAAGTACATGGGATTAATATTCAGGAAACCTGCCTTTAATTCAGTAACAGGTCACGTCACCTCTCTGGGCTTAGCTACTCAGTCTATAAAATGAACCGAAGGCCTTAACTAACCCTTAACTAAGGCTTTGATAAAGATGTCAGACTCAATTAGCAATTTCTTTCCATAAGATAGAGCGTTACTGTTATCCTGCCACAAAGATACCAAAAAAAGTCTTTCTTGGTTATGATTAACAATGCAAAGAATTACTGTAAAGGGCAAATCAGTATCTATAACTTTATCTCTGGAGGAATTCTTTTTACTTATTTTTTCTTTTCCTATGATCTACCTATCTATTGATCTATCAATACCATGTGATTTTTCTTAGATATGTATTTCTCTATTATATAAAACTTTGGATACTCTGAAGAATTTGTATTGGTGAAGAAGGGATTAAATCAGAGACAGTGTAACAGTTTATTGACAACCTGGCAAATCTCTGTCTGGGAAACACTGTATATACATGATGAAAACCTTTAGCTTTCATGTTCAAACAACAATCATGGAAGATAGATAGATAGATAGATAGGCAAAAGATAGATGGAGATACACCTAGAACCTAAGTGAGCTAGATTTTTCCAAACAAAAACCTGGAATGAAGAAAATACGGGTTTTGGGACCATCAGAAGGCAAAATGGTTGCATCACTAGACTCCCATGCAGTCGACTATGGTTTGAGTCTTGGATCCAGAAGCTTAAACTCATGCTGGGTGCATGTGTGTGCATGCCCAAAATCCCAGGAGGAGACTGGAGGAGAAGGGATCATGGTGCAGTCACGATCCAGGGTGGGGGTGGGGCAATTTCTTGCTTTCTGTTTCTCTGGCAAGTGTATGTGCCCTATAGCAGAAATTTCTCTTAAAAAATAAAAAAGAGAAAATCTGGGTATTATTGCATAATTTCTGAGGAGGCAGCATAGTAATATAAAGGCTTTGAACAGAAACAAAACTAGACTCAAACCCCACTCCATTATTCATAAGCAGTAGGTATCTGTCCTAATTATGTAACCTAAATGGACCTATACCCACTTGCAGAGTTGTTAAAAGAATTAAGTATGTGGGAACCAGCAGTTAGCATAATGACTATGTCGCTGGACTCCCACATAGTCGACCGCGGTTCGCGTCCCAGACCTGGTGGCTTAAACCTCACGCCGGGCGCATGGGCGTGCATACCCAAGATGCCGAGAGGAGAATGGAGAAGGGATTGTGGCGTGACCATCCCCCCTGGAGGGCGATTTCTCGCTTTCTGTTTCTATGTCTCTCTCTGTCTGTCTGGCGAGCGCACACACCCTATAGCGGAAAACTCCAAAAAAAAAAAAAAAGAATTAAGTATGTATGTACCTGACAAGTACTTAAATGTTATCTCAATATATGTTTTAGCATTGGGACCAGCAGTTTAGCATAATGGCTATGTGCTGGACTCCCATGTAGTTGACTGCGGTTCGAGTCCTGGACCCAGTGGCTTAAACTCACTCCGAGCGCATGTGCTTGCATGCCCAAGATCCCAAGAGGAGAATGGAGAAGGGACTGCAGCTTGGCTATCCCCTCGGGGGGGGTTAGTTCTCATTTTTTTGTCTATCTCTCTCTGTTTCTATGGCGAGTGCCCACACCCTATAGCAAAAAAACTCTCTAAAAGAAAATAATAAAATAAATAAATATATACACATATACACACACATCACATACACATATAAACACAAATACTGGGTCCAGCAGGTGGCGTGGTGGTTAAGGGCACTGGACTCCCACATGGCTGACCACAGTTCAAGTTCCAGACCTAGTGGCTTGCTTTTTTGCTTTCCCTCCTTTCCTTCTCACTCTCTGTCTCTTTCTGCCCCTCTCTGGTCAAATTAAAATAAATCAATAAAGTTAAACAAAAAATTCTTTAAAAAAACTACAACTACTCTGCTATACTGAATTTTTTTGAACCTCAAGCAATCTGCTGTAGTCTTATTAACATAGAAAAGTCTTAATGAATTTAACTCTATATAAAAGCAAACCCAACAACCAAAAATTGAGCTTATGTACTTTGAAAACTTGGTTTTATTTAGCAATGATCAAAAAGCTTGACAAATTTGTTTTGCTTTTTTTTTTTTGCGGGGGGGGGGGAGTGAGAAATCGCTCCCCAAGGAGGATGGCCATGCTGCAAAGCCTTCTCCAGTCTTCTCTACAAATTTTGGCCATGTACACACACATGCAAGCCATGTTTTTCAAGTCACCAGGTCCGGGACTCAAACTGCATAAGCCATTTGGCTTCCAGCCACCTTAACCTCCACACCACCTGCTGGCCTGACAATCTGTTTTAGCTTTTTCTGTACCAAATCCAGTCAGGCACCATGTTTACAGTGGAAATAATGTTTTTGCTGATGGTATATACACAGACTTCTACCCTCATTCTACATCGATATACTAATTCAAAAGGCAGTGTTAGATAAATGGATGGCATTTGTTATTGTTGAATTGCAGACAGCAAGAAAAGATGGACTGTATAAAGCTAATATAATTCTCTTACACACTGAAAACTCTCAGTTAAGAGTCACAGCATGTACTGGAAAGTTACCATATTTAAATTTCATTAAAGATAGTAAGAAGAACGGTACAATGTTAAAAGATAGAGCACCTGAAATTATGAAACAATTACAGTAATAGTGAATCAATAATATTAGGTCATCAGAAAAGTCATGAGGCATTTTCTCATAGAAAAACATAGAGAAAATACGTCATGACTTTTCCAACCACCCAGGAGTAACAACAACAACAACAGGTACTTTACAGAGGCCTCTATGGCTCTATGCAGTTAACACACCACAGGTTAGGAAATTAAGACACTACAAAATAAAGTGTCCTGTTCAAGGTCCTATAACCAGTCAGAGCAGGGGAGTTATTTGAACCAGATATGATAGATTCCAAAACCCAAACTCTTTCCGCCAGCTTAGGAAAGGTAGCTGTTCAAGTACACATTGTCCTGAAACTTGTCACACTTGGTCCAGGAGAGAAGCTAGGGGATAAGTCAAGTGTCATCATCCGTCATCACGGGTGTCTAAAACCTGAAATGTGCACGAGGCTTTCACATGAAATCAGTCACGGCAGCTAAGGATCACCAAAGCAGTAATAGCCGTTTCCTTGGAGAGTAGTTATAAAAGCATTCATAAACTGAAAAGTGCATTCAGAATTTCGCAGGCTGAGTGTAACTCATGTTAATCATGTTTCTTGTTTGCAATGACACTAGAGGGCTCATAATTTTTTATTCTAGACTTTTAAAGTTTTTTCTTGAGGTTCTTATCACAAGACAAAAGAAAAAAAAAAATCCTAGCATACCAAGGAGGTAACTTTTCTAAGTAAAAGAAAATTTTAGTTTTTAAAATTAATTTAAAAGAATCTAAAAAAATTTAAGGAGAAACGTCACAGTGCCTCTGTACCGTGGCAGAAGTAAATGTACATCTCTGAACCCTGTGATAACTAAGTTTTAAGGTAAAGATGTCTGACATGTAAGTGCACAAATACAGTCCAGTAGAAAACCCTTTCCTTTCTCAATCTGTTTTTTTTTTTGCAACTATGATTAACTCTCCCAACACCCAAGTTTCTGAAGTAGAGTTTAATACACTGAATTTTTTTATTTAGAAAACAAAGTCATTATTGTGCATTTTTTTCTTCTTTGTGGTGCATTTTTTTTCTTGCAGAAAGATATCAATATCCCTAAACCTGAAGTTTTACTTAGGTATTTAAGAAAACTTCCATATAAACTTGTTAGTCCTAAACTTGATCTACTTTTCTAAGAAGGAGAATCAATAATTAAGGTCCCTAGGGCCATTGTAATCTTGTGGCCTGAACAAATTAACTTACTAATGAAAGGCAGGAAAAGAAAATCTATACTCAAGTGTGAGATCATCATATAACAATTTACTTTGTCATCTATAAATAAGAATATACTTACCGTAAAAAGTGAGGTACCCAAAAAGTGCAGATATAAAATAAATGAGAAAACTTAAAGCAATTGCTGTATTAGTTACATTCTGCATTCTTTTCTTTGAAGGGCTAAAAGACAAAAATGGTAAAACCAGACTCAGTGAATTATATCAAAAGAAAGGAGCAGGACCAGCAGTTGGCGTAATGGCTATGTCGCTAGACTCCCATGTAGCGACCGCAGATCAAGTCCCAGACCCAGTGGCTTAAACTCATGCTGGGTGCGTGTGTGTGCGTGCCCAAGACCCCAAGAGGAGAATGGAAGAGAAGGGATTGTGGCGTGGCCATACCCCCCCTGGGGGGGTGATTTCTTGCTTTCTGTCTCTCTGTCTCTCTCTGTCTATCTGGCGAGCTCATGCGCCCTATAGCATAAACCTCTCCAAAAAAAAAAGAAAAGAAAAAAGAAAAAGAAACAAGCATCTCCCAAGCTAATTATGAGGATTCCACAATTCTTCATGACCTAGTTCATCAATAACTATACACTAGAATTAAGTTAATAATTTTAAATTAGTGCGCAAAGATTACACTTTCTGGAAACATTTTCTACTTAGAACTCTTGGTTGTTTTCCCTTTTTAAAAGCTAACATTTAGGAGGAACCAGCAGTTAGCGTAATGGCTATGTCGCTGGACTCCCATGTAGTCGACCGCGGTTCACATCCCGGACCCAGTGGCTTAAAACTCATGCCGGGCGCATGTGCGTGCGTGCCCAAGATCCTGAGAGGAGAACAGAGGAGAAGGGATTGCGGCGTGACCATCCCCCCCTGGGGGGTGATTTCTCGCTTTCTGTCTCTATGTCTCTCTCTGTTTGGCAAGCGCACGCGCCCTATAGCAAAAACCTCTCAAAAAAAAAAAAAAACAAAAACAAAACCAACACTTAGGGGAGCCAGCAGTTAG